TAATAATAATAATAAAAACTAGAACTGTCCATCTACCTTAATATGTACTACAGATGTAAAATTTTAATTTGTTTTATTTTACATTGCGTGATTTTATGGTTTTACCAATTATGTACTTAAATCTGTTTAATCTAAGCCACCAAGAGAACTTTATATGTACCATACAACTTTGCATAAGTAAGCAAACACACAGCACCCAAAACAGCTAGCCATACATAGGTAAACTCCAGTCCACAATACTACACTATCCAGAATGATAGCTATCAAGCTTGTTACAATAGTAAGATTCTTATTTGGACAAGACTCTTTATACTTTTGTATTCCCTAGATAAGTAAACACAGGGTGAGGCATGCTACAGGTAATTAGAACACACATTTTTGCTTTCCTTAAAGCATAATGCAAGTCAAATACTCTTTTGATCATTATCAGCAAATACTCCTATTTTACATAAATCATTTGTGTCATATTTATATACAGGTGTTCCAAACTCATTAGGGATCCACAAAGATAATTCCTCCCCAATAGCTCTTTGGGCAAATAGCTAGATTCAGCACCTTTTGTTCCTTTCCTAACAGTTTTTAAACAGAAATTTCACATTTGACACAAGTCTGTAAGATGTAAGTTGAGTTGCTGCTTAAACACACTGGCTGGTACTGTGTTCAAGAACATAACTGCACTGGACATAATCTAATACTGATCTGAACATATCCATTACAGTGGGCATATGGATACCTAGTTTTCTGTGTTGGATACCTCTGCTAGAAAACCGCAGGTAATAACGCACTTGCTCCCTTATAGAAATGAGTCGATGCATAGCATCAGACAGCATAAAAACATTCTACAGTGTGTGAACATGCAAGACTTATTTTCATCATCCTTCACATTAGATTTGTTTTGTTTCTGTTGTTTCTTAAGATAAGTTATATATTTTATATCAACTTCTTATGAGTATATGTGGTCACTCTTCATTTTAAATTACAAACTACAAACTGAAATTTTTGATAGAAGTGGCTGTGGGATGGTAAAATGGGGGGGAGACAGGATTGAGGATTTCCTTAAAAAAAAGAAAGGGAAAAATACTAAAAAGTCCAGGAATTGCTAAAATAAAGAGTTATTGAGGCACATTTAGATTTCTTCTGTACTGGACTGTGGTCACTGCGTGACTGAGTATAATAAGTCTCAATCAGACTTAGAGCATTTATTAACCCAAACAAATTAATTTAGAGTATTTCTGTAATTTAGAACTTAATTTAGAATACTTCTGTCTAGCTGGAAACTATTTTGATTTTGATTTTTTGTCTATATATATTGGTTATAAAATCAAATATAAAGGCTAACTATTTACATCAGCGGCATTTTGAGATATATTTTGACTGTACACCCCCCTGTACACCTAATGTAGCCCTTCAACTGGAGACTGGCCTAATCGCCATAAGAACACGCGCCAAAGTCCACATGTTTAATTACTGGCTAAAGCTTCTCTTCTCTTCAGAAGGCTTGGTACAATTGCCACGTTTTGATTCCTTTCAATCAGTATGGAAACGACAACTTACAAAAGAAATAAGGCAAATGGGCTTTTCCACCAATGTTCTTTTGGCGATGGGGCATGTCAGCGCTAAAGCAGCACTCAAACAAAGAATCTGGGACATAGAACTTCAAGAGCATATGAACCAGGTAGGCAAATACAGTGTTGTCACTAACAATACCATTACAATATCTGCATATTTGACAAGCACAATGTCAACAAAGACTAGAAGAGCTTTCACATTAGCAAGACTTAATTTTTTACCTTCTAAGCCAGTGGTCCCCAAACTTGGGCCTCCAGAGGTTCTTGGACTTCAACTCCCAGAAATCCTGGCCAGCAGAGGCGGTGATGAAGGCTTCTGGGAGTTGTGGTCCAAGAACATCTGGAGGCCCAAGGCTGGGGACCACTGCTCTAAGCTCATGGAGGGAAGATTTCAACATACACCTATCTTGGATTAGCTGTGTCTGTGTAATGATGGCCAAGTGGAAACCATAGGTCATGTTTTACTGTATTGTCTTTTCTATAGAGATCTACGCACCAACCTCCTGTGCCTAATCATTCTCAGATATCCAGGGAGATCAGATGAATTTCATATCAAGCTACCGTATTTCTTTCTGATCCAGACTCCCTTATTACACGGCCTGCAGCAAGATTTTGTGCCGCAGCAATGGCATAGCGCTCCCTTCTAGTCTCCTGAGCTCACGGGTTGACTGGTCTTGGCATGGAGGTGGTTTATTGTCTAGCATGGAGATGTGTTATGGTCCCAACCAAAGGGACAATGGCCCGAGGGATAGCTGTAGAGGTGCTGTGTTTTATTCTCCCTGTGTTTTACAATCAGTGCACGGTTGATTGCCTGTTGTGCTTTCTTTTAATTGCATTTTGTGTGTTTTGACCACGTAGTGTGTTTTATGGATTGGCTATACACTTTTGAATTGCATTTTGTGTATTTTGGCCGCATGGTATGTTTTGTTTGTATATTTTAAACTGTATTTTGTATGTTTTAGCTGTGGATATGTTTTGTGGGCTGGTCACGTGACCATAATAAACAAATTCTATTGTATTCTAAAGGCATCGCTCTTGCTTCCTAAAAGCTTAATGCAATTTACTCCTTTTAAATTTCTTATGGAAGTTCTCCTTGTTTATCATAACGGGAACCTCTGTTCACCTTTCCTGCTCCTCTCAGTTAATTCTACGGTACTCCAGAGATGTCTATAAAGTATCTACTAAACCTAATTTGTGACTCCTTATCTAAAACACAAGTACATTAGCAAAGTTCATAAAGAGCCAGTGACAGCTCATCTTCCAGAGGTACTAATTTGTCACATTTTATCTCAAATACCCCTTGGGAATGGGAAATTACACATTTGCTGTGATCACATCTAAGCAAACATTCTGAGAAGTAAATTCAACAACAAAAATGCTACTACAGTATTTTCAACTTAATTGATCATCACAAAAGATATTCTTACAAAGAATATTTGCTACAGTCTGTCAGGAAAAGGGCCAATTTCAAAAACACAATTATTTTCTAAATGAAAATTTTAGACTCTAAGGACCACATTTCTTGGGTAGGTGTGGGGAAATCAAGCATATGGCTCCCATTGACTTGGATCTATTCTAGCTTCAAGCAGCTTCTTCTGAAATTAAATTACCATACTCAACTTTCCAATGTTTATGTTCTAAATTAAAGGGCAAACTATATACTAGAGGGGGAAAAGCTTTGAGTTCATAGTTGCACTGCAGGTCAATGAGCTCAATTTGAAGCACAGGAGGGGTCCGCAAAAATTTGAAATGTGGCTCTGTGCATCTTGAAGTCTGCAAATCTGTGATCAAATTCCTCCTGTAGCTTCAAAATTACATCAACATACTTCTCACCACTGAATGGTCTGCCTGCATCCACAAGTGCCTTGCATGTTGGGAAATGACAAAGGTTTGTCTGCGCTTTCCATAACACAAGTTTTGTGGAGAATGCTCTCATGTTGTCATAGGCAGCACTGACAAGTTGCCCCTGGCCTTGTAACTTCTTGTTCAGTACATTAAGCTCATGCGTGATATCAACAAGAAAAGTTAAGTCCATGAGCCATTTGGGATCACTTAGCACAGGAACAGCCACTCCATCCTTCTCCATGAAGGCTTTCACTTCTGCTCTCAACTCAAAAAAGGTACGTTGGCTCAGTACATTCCCCTGCTGAGCCAACGTACCTCGGTGAAGTAGAGCATCCCCATATTCTGACTCCATTTTCTCTAAAAAAAGCACAGAACCTTTGGTGATTTAAGCCCCTGGATCTGATTTGGTTGATGCATTTCACAATGACAGACATCACATTGTAAAACTTCAGGCATTTGCTGCAAAGGGCCTGCTGATGGATAATTCAGTGCAGAGCAATGGTTTCCCCTACACCCTCTTCTTCCAGGTTTTTTTTTGAACAAATGCCATCAGTCCATTTTTCTTCCCTGTCATTGATGGTGCTCTACTGGTTGTTATTCCAACAAAACTCTTTCATGGCAAACTGGTGTTCTCAATGGCATCACACAGCTGGTGAAATATCTCCTGAGCGGTGGTCTGGCCATGCATTGGAATTACTGTGAGCAACTCCTCCATCACTTCAAAATTGCCATCAACACCATGGACATACATTGCAAGCTGGGCAGTGTCGGTGATGTCTGTGGTCTCATCAAGAGCGACTAAGTATACACTAAAACATTTGGCTTTCTCACACAGTTGGTCATAAATGTCACTTGACAAGAAATGCGCTCAGCCACAGAAATGCACTCTGCCACAGTGCTGGCAGAAAGACTGATGTTGCTAAACTGACCTTTCTTTTCCAGACAGAGTATACTTGCAGCCTGCAATATGCACTTTTTGAGAAATTCACCTTCTGTGAATGGCTTTCTTGCTTTAGCAATCATCTCACTAACTATGCAGCTAGCTTCAACTCCTGCATTATTCTCTTTGGTTGCTTTCTTGATGAAATCTTGTTGCCTCAGTAGACATGTTTTAAGATTGGCAACCTGGTTTGCTCTCTCATCTCCCTGGTATTTTGCATACTCCTCAGTGTGTCTAGTTGTGTAATGATGTTTCAAATTGTATTCTTTGTGCACTGCAACTTTCTCTGTGCAAATAAGACATGTCAAGGTGCCCTGTGCTCAACAAAGGAATACTGCATTTCCCACTTTTCCTGTAAT